AATCTCCAGCATGCAGTCCTAAGCTTCGTTGATCTCGTTGGAGCTCGTTTGACCTCCGATTCAGGTGTCGTTTGATCCCCGATGCTCGTAGTCTTGTCCTCTTTCTTTTAATGACAAGATTTCATGATTCTTTGTCAATAAAATGAGTTATAAATCCATTATTGCTCAAGTCATTTGCAAGTTTCTCACCCCGAGTCGTCAATTGATCTCCGATTGACCACTTTACATGCTAGGACCTGAAATGTGACAAAGGGACACAACCTAGCATAAAATAGGCCAAAGTAGGATAAAAACCAAGCTAAACAATCAAGGAATGAGGGGTAAAACATGTGTAAATATGTAGTCATCAAGGGGTAAGGATTTAAGCAATTCATGTCTGTTGTTCAACCACTGTTTAGGATACCCGGGAGGAAAGCTATAAGAGATGATTGGTTTCATATCTTCTTGGATAAAAGATGGATTTAATTGATTTTTTTGAATCAAGGAGCCAAGGAAGAATTTCAATCACTACGGATACATGGACTTCTGATAACAACAAGAATTACATGTGTGTTACTGCTCACTTTATTGGAGGTGATTGGAGGTTGCAGAAGAAGGTGATAGCCTTTGTTCCCATCATAAGTCATACTGGAGTTGATATTGCAGAGAAGCTTGCAGGAGTTCTTGAAGAGTGAAAGGTGAAGAATCTGTTTTGCATGACCATGGACAATGCAAACTTCAAATGATGTTCTCAGTGAGTACATGAGAACGAAGCTGAAGTAGTGGGGGAGTGATTTGATGGATGGGAAGTTTCTGCAGTTCGATGTGTTGCACACATCATTAATCTGGTGGTACAAGATGGACTGAAAGTTGTTGGTGGTGTTGTGGACAGATTTCGGGATTGTGTGAAGTGGGTGAGGTCTTCACCAACTAGATTGTTAAGGTTCAAGAATGGCATGGAATTTCTTCATGTAGAGTCAACCAAACTGGTGTCTTTGGATGTACCGATCAGGTGAAACTCCACCTATACCATTTTAGAGTCAGTAGAAAGTTTTGATGCAGTGTTTACAACTTTGTATTCAAGTCCACACGATCATTCTCTTAGAGATTATCTTGACTCAAGAGGTGGGCTTCCAACTAATCAAGATTGGCAGATGATTAGGAAGTTGAAAGACTATCTGAAATTCTTTAATGACTTGACCCTTCTAGTCTCTGGTAAGTGAAATTTCTGAATTGCATTATTTTATTTAAAATTTTAACCATTTACCCATTTCTATTTGTTTTATTCTAATCTTCTGTGTTATCTTCTCATTGTACATGAACTAAATATGTGACTATCCATATCTTCTTCAAGAAGCTTGTTACGGCATATGGCATCATTGAGCAATTGAAGAATGATCTGCATGAAGAGATCCAAAAGATAGCTGAGAAGGTTGAGGAAAAGGTACAAAAGTATTGGGTTGAGTCATGTGTTGTGAACGAGAAGAACATGAAGGTGAACCGCTTAATTTATATAGCATGTGTGCTTGATCCAAGAAGTAAACTTGATTTGGTGTCCGAGGTTTTGGCAATGATGTATGGGAATGTGAAGGGAGGAGAAATGGTTAACTGCGTTAGGTCGGAAATGCAACAGCTGTTTGAGGTTTACAAAGGGAAGTATGGATCAAAAGCACCCTCCTCTGCATCTGAGCCTACCATTGGTAAGAGCACGGGTGGTGGTGATAGGATTAAGCAGCTCGAGGAGAGGCTTAGGAAGAGGAAAAGGGAAGCACTTCTGCAGGACACAGGAGGTAGCTCTGCTGAGCTTGACATCTATTTAAGATGTCAAACTAATGGCATCAATGAGGAGAGTGATGATGCCAAGTTTGACATCTTGAGTTGGTGGTCTCGACACTTTGGAACATATCCGATTCTTGCTGAGATGGCTTAGGATATCTTAGTTGTTCCCATCACTTCTGTTGCCTCAGAGGCAACCTTCAGCTGTGGCGTTCGGATTCTCAGTCCATTCAGGTCCTCTTTGAGTGATATCATGTTGAGGCATTGATTTGTGCGGAGGATTGGATAAATTATCAAACTACCGGGGCAGGAGAGAATGACGATAGGGAAGATGATGAAGAGATCATGGATTTGGAAAGCAGTAAGTTCTAAAACTCTTTTAATTATTGTTTGTTCAAGTAAACAGATACTATTTCTTTCCACCTAATTCAATGCATGAATATTCTAACACTTTGTTTTCTTTTTTCTTACTCAGTTAATACCACTTTCCAGTCTAGACTGGAAAGTGCAAGTGATGTTGGCAATGTTGCCAATGCAGATGCAAGTCTGAATATTCCATATGGGAATGAGCAGAAGGGTGAAGAAAATGTGTCGGAGGAAGAGTATGAGAAAGATGGATATCACGATGTTGGTCATGACCTCTTGCCGCAATTGAAAGAAAAGGGTTATGTAGATATTGGTTCTTCTTCTGTTGATAAGTGATGATTTGGTGGTGACTTGTTGATACTATTTGAATTGGTGATTTAAATCTATTTTCTATGCAAAAATGATTGAAACTTGACTTGTGGAGTGATTTAGATGTAGAAATGTAGGGTTGAACGTTTAATTTTAGGAAATTTTAGCGATCTTGTTTGTGTAGGGGGCCTGTCCGGTTCAGTTACCGGTTCAGTTACTCAGTTATAACCGAGCTGACTGTGGTGTTGCGGTTATCTCGGTTAACCGAGCAACTAACCAGTAATTGATCGGTCGGTTGTCGGATAACCGGTGGGATCCGTCGGGCGGTAGGGGAATCGTGCTTCGCGGTTAACTGGTAACCGACCTATCGGTTATCGGTTATAACCGAAATAATCAAACATCCAGCCCTATTTGGATCCGTGTCATGCCAAACAAAAAGAGCGTAAGGGGTGACGTAATTACCAGTTTGCCTCTCTCTCTCTTTTTGCGAAATAATCTGGGTTATTAGATGGGGGAATGGATGAACAGTGGATGATTGAGTTTTGTAGTGATTTTGTAGAAGTGTATTTTGTATCATATCCCTTCCCATAACTTAATCAGTCTTATTTACGATTAACATTTAATTGATAATGACGGAACTAGGGATCGTTTGGATGGATCAATTGTAAAACGAGATAATTTGACCAATTGTTTCATTCTACAAAACGAGTCAATTGATACTACCTGCCGCACCCCAGGCAATTGTAATTGGCTCAAAATGAGTCAATTCAGAATTCTCCAGCCAAATTGCTCCATCCCAATTTTCTACTGCCAAACGGATCAATCTGGCATAATTGTCTCAAAACGAGACAATTGTGTCAGATTGATCCATTGGAATTCCTCATCCAAACGACACGTACGTTCAAATGTTATTATTATTAGGATAAATTTTGTTTTTTTGTTTTGATAAGGGTGAAATAGGATGATTATTGGTAGAGTTATTAATAGTCCAACCATACTAGATTTTATATTAGGTTTTTCCGATCTTCCCTATATAAATGTTCGGATAAATTACATGGTTGGTCACCGGAATTACTAAAAACGTTCATGTTTGGTCACTAGAAATATTTAATTTCATTCATGATCACTAAGATTAGTTAAACCTTCTAAGTTTGGTCACTCTCCGTTAACTTCTGTTAGTCTCCGTTAACGGCGTTAGTTTTTTACTGATGTGGCTAACGAACATGTCTAATCACCCAATTTAACCCGTCACATCATATAACCCGACCGCCACGTCAGACCCACTACATAACCTAACCAACTCAATTCCACCACCAACTCGACCTCTCTTCTTAACATTTTAAGCGAAATTGACCTAAATCTCGCTTCACTTTGATATAAAAAACACTTCGTCGTGATTTGGAACACCGACGAGGAAGAGGATTGGCCACCGCCAAAGCCGCTGGTCTCAATCTCCTCCCTCAAGCCCCTCCCTCTCCGACTGACAGATCCAGACGATTCTTCGTCAACAAATCCACCACTGTCGGAGTCCCATCAATCACCGTTGAGATCTCCATTGGCTACAAGCTCCCCGACGTCATTCTCTTCTACGCTCTTCGGTGGCGATCTCTTGATCCCTCTGACTAGACAGTGGCCAACATCTTCTCTGACTCCTATCGATCTCTAGCTCCTTGTGGGATTGGATCATTGGAAATCTGGGATTGATGGACAGTAGGGGATTCGCTAGAGAAAGAAAGAGACCATTAATCAGAGCATAAAGAAAGAGCCCATCAATCAGCCATTCAATAGAATACAGTACGCAAAGAAAGAAAAGAGTGACAAAGGATGAAAGGAAGGAATAGGCTTTTTGTGTTCTTTACTTCTTTTTCCTTCTCGTACAAATCTTTGAGCGTTAGAGAGAGTGAGGAACAGGCAGAGTGTAGCACAGAGCAGTGACAGCCACCTTCTCTTCTTCAATGGGGGCGTGACTAGAGGGAGTGAAAGCGACAATAGAAGTAGGTTCGTCAAAGGGAGGCCACGAAAAATCAAAGGATTAGAGAAGATGGTTTTTTCATATCTGGAAAGAAAAGTGGATAAACTCTTATTTTGTTCGAGTGAGTCGATTCATGGGTAGGTGGGTCGGTCCTGTTTAGGTTTGGGTTGGACTGGGCAAGATGACGTGGCGAGTTTTAGTGATGTGGTGGGTCGGATTTTACCATTTTTGGGTTAAATTAGGTTGACTAGGCGATTCTGTCTGCCACGTCAGCACATAACGGTCTTTTTTAATGGAGATGGACGAAGACTAACGGAGAGTGACCAAACTTGGACTGTTTAACTAATCTTAATGACCACGAATGGAATTAAATATTTCCAGTGACCAAGTATGAACGTTTTTAATAATTTCAGTGACCAACGTTGCAATTTACCATAAATGTTCATTAGACATTACGCCAAATTTATCAAAGAAGTTATTATGAATTTTTTTCCCAAACCTTCATTCTCCCAAATCCTCTAAAGTCCGGTCGGTCCCGTCCATCTCCCCATAAAGGCCCCACGCATTTCTTCACGTACTTCCCCAAATTCATCTTCAATCCCTTGACTCCTATTTCTTATTCTGATCCCTAAATTTATCTTTCAGTCTCAAAATTCCTATTATCCAATCCAATTCCTAATTTCACAACCGACCGAAAACGCCTTAGATCAGAATTTCCATCAGACAACCAAATAATCAAATTATCAGTTATAACCGAACTAAATATCACACGTAAACTACATGGACTGTAGGAAAAATGGACGCACTCAACCATAGTACACAAATAGAAGAGAAAAAAACGAATTCAACCAACTCCACAGCCAAAAGGAGGGTGGCAAATGCATACACATCGGCCGAGACCATTAGGTTTCGAAGTTTTCTACCTACACTTCCAAACCTTCCCCTAACTAACCATCACTCTTTTTGTTCTCTTTTTCCAGCTAAAGTAGACCGACTGTCTCCTCTTTGCAATGGAGGAGTGCTGCGATGAAGAGCAACAGTTCAGTCTCTCCATCTTCCTCACCACCAACCCCTCCATCACCTCTTCCTATTAGCATCGGACCGGGCAATCAAAGGTACACCTTTACCCCATCTCCTTCCATATCCCCACCATTTTCAGTGTCCCCTTCCAGCCACACTTCCGCCGATGACCTTCCTTTCATGCCGCTGGGAAAGTCTGCACAACGAACTCCATCAGCATTCTCCTTGGATCGGCCGGAGAGAGACAATCGGGAGCCAGAATCCAGCAGTTCATGCCTCAAGGACTTGTGAGCCATTTTTCCAGTTGCTAATAATTGCTCTGTTTCCTCTCTCTCTCTCTCTCTCTATCTCTCTCTCTCTCTCTCTCTCTCTCTCTCTCTCTCATCAAAGAAATATATGTATAACAGGTATATAAGAGGCAAAACTGATAATGAACTCTCTCACCAAGTCAGAAATTTCATTAAAACTTTCATTTCCCCTGTCAAGTTCTTTATGGCATATCAAATCAAACATTCAACGGCAATAGAATCTTACTGTCACTTTTCTTTTCTTCTTTTCCAAAAGAGGAAGGCTGTCATTTAACTGGGGCTATTGATGTTTCTCTGGTTGTGCAATGCAGGCTTGAGTGGGTTATAGAGAGCTGTTGCAGGTGCTTTTCATGGTTCCTGAATCCGTCGTCAAGAGCCACAAGCAAAATATTCATATCTGACATGCCAGGCAATTCTTCACGCATCCCCACAATAAAATCTTGCTCAAGTTCTAACCAAGTCAGGACTCAAAAGACATACTGAACCTCAACTCTGTTCCTGGAAAGACCTCTTCTAAACTGCAACTCTTGCGCACCATAGCCACCACTAATCCTGGAATGAATCATGTAGACTGAATTGTCAGTTCCACTGGTTAACCAACTCTCACTAGGTTAAGTCTTTTGCCGACAATGAACTCTGTACATTACTAACACTATTGAAGTTGCGAAACAGGTAGATTTGGCATTTCATACCTACTGCTGCTGATTTTGCTGTCGTTGGGTGAAATTGGAGTGATTCTGAGTGACATTTTGAAGACCTACCATATTAGGCTGTAAATTCTGAGCAGTAGGTGCCATATTACCGAAAGCTCCTTGTGAACCAAGCTGTTGCTGCTGTTGTTGCTGCTGCTGTTGCTGTTGCTGCTGCTGCTGTGGCTGTATGGGCATCATGCTACCGGGATTTGAAACACCTATATTGTACACTACAAGGAAATTCAGACATTTAAGAATCCTAGCTCAACAATCAAATGCAAGAGAATCAAATGTAACATTCCTCGTTGAGGGGCGAAGGTAGGAGTGCATTGATTAAGATATCCCACACATTGCAGAACTTACCATACCAGTTAGTACTAAGTTGGACCTAACAGTACCACGTCCAATAGTTATTTCAAACTAAAAACCACTGTACTTAATATTCCAGAGAAAATATGGATAAATATGAACAGCATAGGTATTTACTTTGATCATTCAGAATTTGAGATGCATGCCTCTGAGCATTAGTGCCAGCAAGTCCAAACTGCAAACCAGGTGGATGAAAGGAATCACTGTATCAGAAGTAATTCTAGACGCATAATAGAACTGCATGCTACAACTTAACACTGTGAGTTGCAGTTGAGTTTCATCTGGCAGGGGAATCCAACCATGAGACAATCAATCCAAAACTCAAAAATAAGATAATAAAAAATATCAAACATATTATGGTGATGAACCCTTTTATTTGGACGGGTGGAATGGTGATTACATAATCCAAATAACAAGGTGTATATATCCTCTAGAATGTACTTGTATCCCATGGCTCCACCGAGATGAACTACTTATGATTTATTGACTTCGGCCAAATTTGATTATAGAGGAGCATTGAAATATCAATATGGTAGGAGTTTCAGGCAACAGATTCACAAACTCTACAGTCTACATGGACATTGCAGTTGCAATTTGCAAACAAATTGGTTTGGATTTTTGAAACGTTTTATTTCTATCAATTGTTTTACATAATCAATTATTCAACATCTGATGTTCATACCAGACAGGCAGTCTAGCCAAATCCAGGTCGATGACATATGATCCTCATCATGTAGCCCTGTGCAACTAGTACATTCTCCTAACCACCATGACAATTAACTTAAATCTATCCAGCTCTAGCTTGACAGTCTCTTTTCAGAGTCCAGACATCTAGCTCCCTGTAATGATGTTAGTTAATTGCCCCCTTCTGAATATATACTCTGGTTCTAATCCGGTGGGACATATCATATTTTTCAGCCAGTGGTCAGAACTAAAGCAACCTATTATAAGATCCACCATCAACCCCTGGAAACTAGCTACTCCAACTTAAAAAGGAAAAGGAAAGGAAGAAGTGGAAATTACCAATATTACATTGGTAGCTTACCCAGGGGCGGACCCAGGAGGGTTTAAGGGTGTCCCCGGACACCCCTAAATTTTGGGAAAACGATTATCCAACCCCAGGTGGTAATTTACGTATGGACAAAAAAAAAATATAATTGATAGTGAAGGACACCCCTTAAATTTGAAAAAATGATTATCCTACTATCATTTGTGTATAGGAATATAAGTGGTAGGTTGGATAATTTAAATCTAGAACACTATTATTATTAATAAACTTAATTTCCGTTGAGCTAAACTCATTTGTTGTTCAATTTTGAACAATGTGTAATAGTAAAATGGCATTCTCTATCTCTAATTATTTTAAAAACCTAACAATTAAACTAATTTCAAACTACCCTTAATTTGAATTGATTTTCTGATTGTACAGCAAGTGTTGAAAGAGTCTTTCAGTTTTGGGTTACATCAAGAACAAGTTTACAAATCGAATATGCGATAAGTTCGTGAATGATTGTCTAGTAGTGTATATAGAGACAATTTTTTTAAACACTATAGACACCAAGCGTATTCTACAATTATTTCTGAATATGAAAACACATCATGGACTTTTTTAACCTGTACGAGTAAGGTATTTTCATATTTACAATTTTATTTTTATTAATTATTTATTTTTTTAATTTATTTTTTAAAAGAGGACACCCCTATAAAAAAATTCTGGGTCCGCCACTGAGCTTACCTGCATACGTGGCATAAGCGGCTGCGATGACATTGTAGCTGATATATTTGGAATCTACAAACAATAAAAAAGGTAAGACAGGAGAAATTAATAATGAAAAAGAACTTCTAAAAAATAATTAGAAAGCTAGGGAAATGGAGGCTGCATATAAATATGCCATGCATGTACCTCCATAATAAGGTAATTATTATAAACACACAGGTAGAGCATCTGAATCATATATGCACAAAATAGCTTATTTTGCATTCAAAATTGATCATCACCAAGTCCTCCCGTTGCATTAAAGTAAGCAACCTCAAGACTTGGCTTATCAATCATGTCAAACACAAGACCTTGAAGGTTTGTAAATTTGAAAGTGTGGTCAGTGTTTCTGAAATTTATCCCAGGCTTTTGTTTTTAGCTCACGTGAAAAAGGTGTTTCATACCTGACTGAGGATCTCACACAAGACAGAAATCTGTTAATATCACTCTGATTTAAGAATTTCTTACTATTAGATAGTTTCTTAGTGGTAATCTTTTACTCTCCTATTTTACCTCAGCACGAGGAACAGCACAGAACAGAGAGCTAACATCTCATTCCAACAGCCCACTCCACTAGCATATCATGTCTCATCAACCCAAATAAATGCACAGAGGATACAAACAAAGTCAGCTGGAGCCTCTTTTAGCTTCAGCATGCAAGAACAACATGCCCTAATCCCGAAATGCTAAAACAACATCTGCACCTTTAGAACTCAATATATGGTTCTGTACATGCTCTCTCCATCATAGAATGTTCAAAGTGACCACTATAAATGTACAGATGTACACTAGGACAGTTTAATATAGACTATTCAAGTAGCAACAAAAAGTAAAACAAATAAAGTGAACACAGCTCGCAAGCAAAACACAGTACCCATAACCATTAGGAAAGAACAAGTACACCAAAAAAATGAGAGAACGAATGACAAAGCTCATCATTCAATAGCATATCTTACCATCTGGGTACTCGGTGCTCCTTGAGCAGCATTGAACAATGCAGTATTAGCAGTGCCAGCAAACTGAGTCATATGACGATTTAACTGATTCCCTTGACCAAGTTGGCTCTGACCCATTCCATGCTGAACATGACCAGCAGCCAGCTGCCTGCTCTGGAATTGCTGGTGCCCCATTGGCTGAGAAAATTGCATCTGATATGGCACATGAAATTGATAAATTAACCTCTATAGAAACACCTCATGAAAGTTTAAAGCACAGAGAAACAAAGAAATGAGCAATTAGTTTCATTGTTGTTACAAAAGGCTTTTTTGCCTTTTTGTGTTGGTTTAACACCTTATTGTAGTTGTCACACCTTTTACGTTCAAGCAAGTAAACAAATCATGTAGAAGTGTATAAAGTTGTACTACTTCAGAACTACAATAACAGAAGATGAAACGTATGTTAAAAAGACAACAATAAATGAAAAACAAACCTGCCCGAGGCCCTGCATAGAAGAATGCCTCAATTGCTGGGCAATGAGTTGCTGCTGATGCTGAGGTAACTGCATTATTTTTTGTCTTTGCTGCTGCAACTGTTGTTGCTGATGCTGCTGTTGACTTTGTTGTTGAGGAGAAGGAGTATTCATCATGTTTGTACCAGACCTGGGGGAGTTAGAATATGGCAGAGGGGAAGTCGTTGTGTTATCAAAGGATGTAGCACTTGTAGCAGTGGAGGGAGATGCAGCTGATCTTGCCATAAGTGGGGTACCGGAAGCATGCTTCAGCAAGGTAATAAAACAACAAGAGTGAAGCAGTAATAAGTTCCATTGAAAAGTATACCATATTACATGTATACAAATTCTGCACAGGTTAATCAGACGATGTCCAAAAGACAGTTCATTTTTAAACCTTAAACATATCCATAAACATATAAATCTAAGTATCATAAAAAAAAGAAAAGACAAGCACTTTGCATGAAAGTTGACAGCAAACAACACTGAAAGGCCAATTTGGGGGATGACAACAGATGCTGTGTGCGGTCTAGCAGGATTAAGTAATACTAGTTACATAAACACATTGAACTCCTTATCATGGGATGAAAAAAGTAATAATAATATTATAACTGCTGGTATTCACCTTTAAATGCAAGAAGATGGAGACAACAAAATAAACTAAGCAACAAAACCATTATGAATGATTGCTACATGGAAGAGACCAATAATTTGAAATTATTTAGAAGAAGTGCACTATAAACAGCATACGTTCTAGAACACTACATTTCTATGCAAAAGGAACCAAATATATCTCTAGAAACAGATTAACCGGTGCAGAAACTGCTGAAAAGGGAAAATGGAACCAATTATCCAACCTGCAGCAAAGGCCCCTGATTGCCGATGTTATTGGATGACATAGGAGGAGTACTTTTCATATACATTCCTGAAAAACAAAGTTAGTCAGCTAGCACGTACTACAGATAATGAGGGCCAAATCAATGTATGTGTATATGACATGTACATATGCAATAATTTATTACCACCAGAATCAGGAAAACCATGTACGCCGACACTATCATTAACAGGAACCATATCAGCCAGATGAACTGGAAGTGTTGATGTAATCTGCCTCTGGTCTACAGGTATTCTTAGGCCTGCATGAGTCAAACATATTGCAGTCAATCACTGACGCTGAGCATCTTCAAGAAAACTTGCATGATATTACCAAGAAACCACAGTTGATATATGAATTAGAACAGATTGATGATTGTACAACCCACGTTTGAGCAATGCCTAGAAGCGATAATGTGCTTCTCATGCTGGAGAGCGGAAAATTTCTAAAGTATCTACGAACACGATCATTGAACCATAAGAAGGTGATCCAACTAATCCATTTCTACCAGAGTTGCTTATCTAGTCTCTACTCTTCGGAAATTTCAACTTGATGTACAATATACTATTCAAATATGGAGAAAAGACAACTGAATAAGATATAAGCAGATCAGTAAGGTGATTAGTCGGATTGCAGCTCAATGCGGTTTCTTTGGACCTTGTTCTACGTGAATAACTCGTGCGCATACTAAAGCCTGCTTTATGATACTTTGTCAATTTTGTTAATAAGCTTGAGTCCCTGGTCAACAGATGCGGAGTACTTTGATCAATCATTGGACTTGCATGTATCCATCTTCAAATAGACAAACTATCCGAATAATGCTTATGGACGCCAAGGAATGTAAAACCCATGAAAAAAACAGCTATGGAGAACACACCTTCACCAGAATTTACAGCAGCTCTAAGAAGGTTCTCCTGTTCATGAATTTTTGCAGCCTGCCCCTTGTCTAATGTCGGAATGATTGTTGGACCTTGACGTGTACCAAATTGATAGGCTTTGCGAGTATCAGCTAAGACTTTTTCAGCACTTTCGCAAGCTGCAGCAATCATATCTATTCTAGTCTGCATTATAAAAGGCCAAAGTCCTTCAAGGAAATGTGATTCATCTTTTGATTTATTCCAAGTATAAATAAAATCCAATTCACCTTTAACTTCTCAATCTGTGCAGATACTTCCAGGTTCTGCATTCCCTGAAGCAACTGCTCTCTCTTTACATTATCCTCCATTTCCATCTCTGGTAGTAATTTTGAGGACAACATAACAGGTAGTACTGCAGCCACAATATGCAAGAATATCAAACTAAATTAACAAATTAACCAGAATAAAAGGCTACTGATTCAGATGGTACATTACTCTTGTTTTTAGGCAACAAACTTGATATACCTCAAATATCAAATTTCAGAAATGTCTTAACTTTTCTAACATCAGTATCAAAAGGATCACCGTACTTGTAGCATTTTCTGCATTAACATTCTTCGGATGTACAACAAAAGCCTTGGAGACCTTCTTAATCTCATCCACAATGTTGAAAAGTTCAAGGTTCACCATTGAATATTGGCCCAAAATATCTTGCCTGGTATATCCTCTAAGCAGATTAATAATCAGAGAAAAATAACAACTAGGAAAGAAGAATCCAGACAGAGCAAGTAGACGAATTTCCTCAATATCTATCATGCAACTGCATGTTCTACCAAATGTTCGAAAGAAGTTAAGCAATGCATGAAAAGAAGCAATATGATGCTTTCCATAGACGAGGTATCATCTGGGTATGTTATTCTACATTGCAATACACACAAAAATAACTTTAAACGTCTCTATGCTTAAAGTAACCCATCTGCCAAACTGAGGCTAGTCAAGACAAATAGTTACGAACCACGATTATCCTAAACTGCAGTATTACCTACATTAGCTTAGGAATCTCTATGCTTTCACTAAGATGACAGCCAAACTCATGTTCATCAATACCCATTACAGAAGACTTAGAAAGAATTTGACCTGGGGAAAAGAAGACACATTTTTAAGCCGCTTACCTAGAGTACAATGTAGAAATCCAGTTCATATGACCTTTCTCTTAGAGCACCCTAATTGGGTATCTATTTTTGCGGAAGTAAAATTATTAATTACCACTAAGTTCGTCAAATTTGGTGGAGTACTGCTGTAATTTTTAAACTGATCTCGCTGAATTCAAAGGAAACCCTAATCCGGTCACAATTCTCCAAATCACGGTTCCCATTTCAGCCCTACTCTGAGCAAGCATTCGGAAAACTAACGTGACTAACTACGAAAAGAAGGAAAGTAAAACCATTTAGGAGTGGTGTTGGTGCGAGCGTAGGCGTCAAAGTCTTCGAGGATGCGAGAGATGGCTTTGTAGAGACTGATAGCTCGGATCTTGACAGACTCCAAATTCAGCTGCTGCTGCACCGCCGAATTCAGCCTCTCCGCCACCACTACTGGCGGTTGAGACTGCGCTCCGGATCGCTGCTGTTGATTTTGAAGCTGAGAAGGGTCCTGCTGCATCGCCAACTCCATCGCCGCCGGTCCTCCCTCGCCTTTCCGGGAACACTATTGGTGGCGGTTACTGAGATTAATAAAATATAAGTGGCAGAACATTTAAACTAGGTGATACATGGGTGTAGGTGTGCTATACGGTCCGGTCTTGTTAAATTGGTCCGAATTGATTCGGTTCCAGTTCGGTTTTTTCGAGGTAATGATTAAAATTTGGATTGGATACGGTCCGGTCTTGATCCAGTCTGATCTTAAACCGGTTCGGTGCCAATTCGATCATGATTTTAGATTGAACTTGTGGGGATTTGAGTGGCCTGAGGGAGGTTTGAGTAACCTGAAAGGCTGAGGAGGTTAAATTTTGGGTGTTGGGCTCTCTTATCCTGTCTTTATCCAATTTTCGATCCGGTTCCAAACTATTTTTTACCTCAAATCTAGGTCCGAAGATTGGATTGGATTGTTTGCTATCCAGTCTCAGTCCGATCACGGTCCAGGTTATACGATGCGATCCGATTTCGAGTAAAATCAAAAAGTCCGAACCAAATAGTCAGCCCTACATGAGTGGGTTGTTCGAATTTACCCTTCTTATTCATTGAATATGAGTGCCTCGAGTCAAGTAATATAAGACCTAACTCAATCATGATTCATGAAAGAGTTAAACCCTACGGCTCGACTACAAGTTAGGTTGAATAGGTTCAACTCGTATGCTTCGATGAACGGGTAATAATTGGTACGTAAATGATACTTTTGGTTTGGAATTTCAGATAATACAAGTATTGCGAACTTTTGAAAGAAAAAATTGATTTGGCCCGTATTTGAAATGACCGTCAGAACTAATGGTCAAAAATTTTCGTCTGTGACACAGCATCCAGCGCTGAGGCAGTGTCCACGTCATTTATTCATAAAAAAAGCCAATGTCAAAATAAAAAATATTTAAAAAGGAAAAGAGGAAAGTACCACAAACTTTTCAACCTTCTTTTTCTTCTTCTCGCTTCCTCATTTAATCCCAACCTTGTCCCCGACCGTTGGTCTTCCTTTCACTCACCAATATTTGCTCCGACCAAACTACGGCCATATCCTCTGGACCTCCAACTCTAAGCGGAAGGCAAAGTCTTGTTTCATTCCAACTCGGTCACTGCAGTATGACTGGCATCCGTGCTTGAAATCGAGCTTTGTCAGCAAGATTCCCTGGCCGCATCTCCTCAATTGATTAGATTCGACAGCCGAAGAGGTTTGCTTCCTTCAGATGACGGAACAATGGTGGAAGAGCGTTAGGTTGTCTTTCCAAACGCGGCGACGGTTCAGGTTTGGGTCATTTTGGGCTAGATCCGGGAGACTGCAGTGAGTGAAAGGGTGGGATGTCAACAATGGCGACTCCTTAATGTTGGCATCAAACTCAATTGATGCCCTTCCTCCTCTGGAGATATGTTCATGAAAGCATCTGTTTTGCTTGGATAGATATAGACCTCATGTGGAACTCTAGATGCTTTCAACTTTTCTTCCAATGCTTCTGCTGCCTAAGGCAAAAAGTTCACTGAAAAATAGAGTTGAACAATATTATTGTCTTGTTCTTTCCGAAAACCCTAATTGAAGACCTATAAATAGGTCTCTGGAGATTATAACTCAGTATCCAGAGATATAAGGCGGTTAGGGGGTTATTACTCTGCAAATACAAAGCACCTCACATGAATTAGAATGACACCAGTTACGAGGGAGGAAACGATGACGAAATCAGTGGTCTAAACCTTGATTTTCCCTATTCTTACCACTGTGTCTAGTAGTGTTATGTGATCTTTCTTTCAGTCGATGAATCCCTAGAAACTCATCCCTATGGTCGACTAGTTACCTTAGTTGCATAGGTTTGCGAACCCTAGAGGTTCTATACATGTAAACTCGATGTTTGGTATTGAATACGATTGATTTCAGCTTCCTGTCTTTTGGGTATGATTTTCTCTATATTGTTTGATAATGTCATAATTGCACATGTTTATTCCCTTATTTCTTGGTCGTTTGAGCTCGGTTTCTTGCACATTAAGCCAATTTTAGGCTAGGTTGTTTTCTTTTGTCACAATTCATGTCCTACTCCTAGCAGGAAAAGGGATGCTTAGGTGCAAGTTTCGAATCAATCGGAACACAATCATGTTTCGGAGGGCAGCGACCATGTTCCAACTGAAGAAGCACTACCAGATTTGACAGGTCGTGTCCGAGGGAAAACACGGTCTATGCAAAAAGACAAAACACGATTGTGTTTCACCCTTAATAGCCTGTGTAATGACCACCGAGAGACAACACGGGCTGACACCAACCATGGCCTCAACCTTATTTCACCATGAGGATGCTCGTGTTCTGCTGAGAAGGAACTTAATTGAAAGGCAGAGCTTTGACAAACAACGGGCTGAGCCAAAGCACGTGCATGGAGCATGATCATGTTTTGCCTAGCTGCGCGATCAAGTGCAAGTTTTGGGATTTTTTTAGAGAGATTCGACTTTTGAATAGCAAAAACAGAGTTCTAGAGATAAAGTGATGAAGAAACATACCTTAGAGCCTATTTGAGCCTCGATTCCACCATTGGAGATCGGATTTCACCCCTCGAAGTGCAGATTGACACCCCGGAGCATATCATCTCCATCTTTATGAGTATGACTACTTCGAGCATGGTTTTTCTCTCTCTCTCTATGGAGTAATCGCCTCTCTTATTTCGGTATGAAGAATCCTAGTTCCATGTGTTAGGGGAATTGATTGGTTATATTCAATTGATGTATTATTCATGATTGATTGAATCTTGATCACATTCTTTTGATTGTTGCTTTAGCCAAGAGAGCATCCTCAATTGCAATTAGTAAATCGATTACGTGAATAGTGAATCGATTCACTACTTTGTAATGGAATCCATTCTAGTAGAGGAGGTCTATTTGCACTGCCTTGACATTTTAGTGTGGTTGAGGATAATCTATCGTCGGCTAATCTGTTGAAGAGAGCTTGGTCTGCTTTAGTGGAGATTCCAAGCTAATACCGAACCTTCTGCAGTATAACAATCAATGTTAGAAACATGTTTTTTAAGGAAACGGGTCTTCTACCATCCTTATTAACATATTTTTAGGTTTCATCTCATCTACACATAATATAATACGCCGAAGGGAAAAACGGGAGCTCCATTTCAAATTTCCTGCAACGAGAGTGAAAGTAGGAAGGACATTTTGGTCTTCACAATTACTTTTTTTATTCATTAAAAAGACACGTACTGGGATTCGAACCATGACCATTTTAAAGAAAAGCAAGGATAATAACCAATCACACTAAGCACATTTGTTGTATTTTTTTAAATTAAAAACATATAATAGCAGGGAGGAAAAAACCCTTCCCCCATTTCAAATTCCCTGCTCCATGAGTGTTTGTAGGAAGGGTAGAATAGGAAGTGTCAATTTTTTTCTCTTTCCTCTGTGGAACGGGCCAACTTACCGTACACATGCGAATTTAAACGGGTCCAGGAGTGTCAATTTTTTTTCTTTAAACCCTTTTATTTCTCCGTGGTGATAAAATATATATGAAAAGGAAAAACTAATACTCCTTTTTATTGTTAAAAATAAAAAATTTAACAATAAACTAATGCATGGTATCTAATGGGCTAACCGCTAACCATAAAATAAAAGAGTTGAATGGGCCTGACCTACATGGGATTTGGCCATCAAGTAAAACAAATGAACATCATTGGTTTGTCATTCTAAAACAAGCTATTTTCTATTATGCTATTATTTTATATCTTAGTGGCTAAAATATAATGTATTTTAAAGTTATTCAATGGTTCAACCTCGACCAACACAATTAGTCCAATTTTTATCATTTCAAATATATATTTTATAATTATTTGATATCATAATGATCAAATTATAGTGTATTTTATAGGGAATCGTTTGGTATTTGTTAGTAAAAAACTAAACATAACGATCTATTTGGTTATTTTAAACATTATAACGATCCTAAACATTTTCAGTTCCTTTTGAATTTCCATGGTTTTAATCTCGATTAAGTGATGTGCAAATGGCGAATTGTAGTCGTCTCTTTTCTTTCACTATTTTTTTATTTTCAAATAGAAAGTTTAAAAGTAAAGAATAATTAGAATTTGGCATGGGTCGATCGAACAGGCTGAATTTCAAGTTTTGGCCCGTTTGTTTTATGCATTGCAAATTTATTAGCATGTGTGATGGAAATGGCTTGGAAAAAAGACATATAAGTTGTACATTTGCAGAAATGTCCTCAAATGTTGAATGCTTTGTGAATCAGGTTCCGTGACTTTTGTGATGGTGTATGTGCTTGACGATTGCTCTTTTGATTTTCCCTATGAGTTGTGATACCAGTTCTGGTGGTTGCAGCATGTTGTCGTTGTTGGCCTGTAAAAGTTGTTCCACCGTGGTGCTAAATACCTTTCTTTCTTTTTTAACAAATTGTGTGGTAGTGCTATGAAACAGACCACCCATGAATGTTACGCTTATTATGGTCTGTTCTTACTTCCGGTGGTGAGAAATTGTGAATTGAGAATCATATTCGCCTACCGCACTGTGTCTGGCTGGTGGCTGCTTACTGTGCTCTCTAGAGTTATGAAACAGATTACCCATGAACGTTACCCTTAAGAGTCCATAACTTTGTGAAAAAACAAATTTAGGCAATCAAAGGTGGTGGATGTATGATATTTTTTATGGCTTAATTGTTTGTGAATTGGATATATGATCTTTGTATGATTAGAGGGGATGTTTGCTTAATAGAATAATCCATTTTAATTCATGTTTATTTTTAACATGAACTTTAGTAACTCAAAACCTTCGAGACACATATCACCTACTGCATTGTATCATTTTGCCTGGGTGCTTGCTGTGTTGTCAAACTTCTTTGCCGCTGCTGCTGCTTTTACACTAACAGGGGAGTTAAGAACCCATGAATGTTTCCGTTTGACACAAACAGGAGGACTTGTTTCTAAATCGTGCAGTTGATATACTGGAGACCAGAACAAAAGCAATGTATAACATCAAAACCAACCATCTGAACTATTAGCATTGTTGCTTTACTCTTTTTTCGTGGTTAGGTCTCCTTCAAAAAATTTAGTTTGATTTTAGAAAATTTTGCTTCTGCAGTTCTGTCTTGCCACCAACGCGTTCAGTAGATGGAGATGGCAGAGGCGAAGGCTATTTTTGTGTTGTTGTAGCTGGTTTAGGGATCGGTTTGTGAAGAAGAGGGAGAAGAGAGGGGGAAAGGGAAATGCAGGAGAGGGGGTTAACTCTTTTCTCTGACAAAAATGGAGTGAAGAAAGGAATTATGATCAGTAAGGATATGATTATCTTACATAACTGTCTCTATTCTGTTGGAATTGAGCTTGGGAGGCAGTGATAAGGACGAGCTGCAACCAATTCATAGTGAGAAGAGAGCTATGAACTGTGGTCATGTCCTATTTCAAGTTAGAAGGTAGTTTTGAGTATAAGGATTATTTAATTTGACAAGTTGTTTCGTCCATGATTCTTGGTAGTTTCAATGCCATTCTAGCCATTGTTTAGTCTGTAATTTTTGAGAATTGATTTGCGAGTAATGACTTTCACTTAGCTTCACTATTATGCGTGTATTTATTGGCATGTGATAGAATTCTCTTTTCCTTTCTTTGAATTCAGTTTCATACTCTAACTGTATCATTTGTACATAGGCAAATCATGCTCGAGATGACAACTCGCCGATATGGCTGGTGCAAGGAACGAAGCCATCATTAGAATTCAGACCGACAACGGGGAGGGATGCCCAGGACTAATTCAATGATGATTGATGATGGTATAATAAAAACTGCAGTCTGCATCAGCACCAATTTCTAGGCCTAAGTAAAGTTATTCAACCAGAACTCTGCTTAGCGCTAAAAATTCCCCTCACCCAACCTTGATCCTGTTTGACCCACTTATGAAGATTCAAGATATATGACTAATCCTCTCCGTTCGTATTTTCTTATTGACTCTTTCTGACCCTTTAGGTTGGGGCGGGTCGGGAAGAATCAGATTAGTGGGTCGGTCCTAAGCAAGTGGAATCCCAATTCCTTCTACTCTCACTTGCTTTTTCTCCTATTCCACAAGTGGGTAACATACAATAATCCAGCCAACGGGCCGGGTAATAGGCTAGTTATTATTATAGTGGGAAGATCAAACAAAGGTGAAAGGTTTACAAAAAAAAAAATTAGGGGCAGACGAGACACAATCTAGGACCCCACTCACTTATCTATAGCAAATCTAAGTCTTGTAAAAATACAGGTGGAAAAAGAAAAGGAAGAGGGCAAGAAACCATAACCAACCGCCATGCACAAGTCCCAATACTTGGCACGCTTTCTCTAAGCAGCATCAACAACTCGGCCCAACACAAAATCAGTCATCCCAGTCTGAGTCAAAGGTGAAGATCCAGTCAGATCGAAACACACATCTTGCCCCCTGTCCCAGGAATTAAGCAGCAAATCCGTAGGACGAAGAGTTTGCCATGCCCATCAACCAAACTGATATCAACCTCCCTACCGGTAGAAATCTCAGACCTATAACAGATGTCCAATAAGGTGTCACGAACGAGGCTATGCCAATGCTTAATGCCTATAGTACCTGCACATGACACAACATGATCCCCAAAGACATCATTATCAAAGACGCGGGAACAGGCAGGACAGGGCCTAGATACCGAAAACAACGGGACACTCAATCGATAACTAAGCACACTACGATATGTCCTACCATTCATATGGACTTGGGTATTTAGTTATAATTAATCAAGAGCAATATTAAGAAAATCTCATAAACCCTAATCTCTCCCTATCCTCGGCCGATTCTCTTTCTCTCTTCTTCTCCTTCCCTAAATCCCTATCTCAATCATCAATCTTCTGCTTTCTAATTATATCTTTTATAATCCAAAAAATTACAAATATCTATCTGATCAGGAAGCCAGATGGAAACTTTGTTTCTAACAATCAATAAACTGAACTAAGGGAAATTACATCTTGAGGTATGAGCTAGGGGGACACATACCTAAGTGACCTTTTGCATTTAAATTCGAACAAAATTTCATGCTTTGTTACTTTAGCTTTGGGGGTTGTTTGGATGAGGAATTTTAAAGGATCATTGAGACAATTGTACCAGATTGACCCGCTTGGCAGCATAAAATTTGGATGAAGCAATTTGGGCTGGAGATTTTCAAATTGACTTATTTTGAGGCAATTACAATTGTCTAGGGTGGGGGCATGTAATTCAAATTGACTCGTTTTAAATGACTTAATGAGATGATTGGCCAAATTGTTTGGTTTTGCAATTGATCCATCCAACGACATCTTAGTAATCGACATTACAACGTAATTGCTAGATAATAGACAATCCACCAAGTAATAGTGCATCTACATCTCGGGTTGACATTATAACTTTATTTCACTTTAATGCTCTCTAGTCTGTGGTACCACTTGGTCACCGATTATAATGTTGGTTTGAGCGAGTCATTGTCCTTTGTTGAATCATCATGATATACCTAGCTTTATGAATCAACTAAGTGAGTTTCTCTCATCACACAATTCTTCACCAAGAATCAAATAATACATTTTGAGTTTATGTATGTCTTAAAACTTTTACATTTATTAGGTTATATGACTTTGTAGTTTGTAAGAATACAAGGATTGTTTACAAAAGTGCTATACAAAATTTTATTTCAAAACATAAAATTTGACATTTGTGATCTATGATTTTGTAACGAGACATTTTCAATGCTATAAGTGAATGACCAAAAATCATTGGCTAACAATTTCCCTAATGGTTGACAATTATAAGCATAGAATTGAAAGACTAAATACCATTGACAAATGAGCCAATTATCATTGGTTAAATTTAACAAACAATGGTATGTGTATATACATTGGAAATTCTATGGTACGCTCGATGGATTGAGGGTTATTGCATCTTCTTAGTTAAATAACATTATCTAGACCATAGATTAATCATGTAACTAAACCATATATCATACTTCTCTAAATCCTAATATAGTGTATATGGTATGTTGTATACATCTTGGCGAATCAGAATCATTGATTATGTTCTTAGTATATGTGATATTAGGGTATTAAGTTCTATAGATTTAGGGTATATGATTTAATTATTTGAAACATAATCTCCCTTATCAAATTTCCTGCAATGAGAGGGAAATTAGGAAGGACATTTTTGTCTTCATAATTATCTGTATGTTTTATTTATTTACAGAAAACGATAGACATATTGAGATTTGAACAATGGTCACTTCGAACAAAGTGAAGGTTTAAAATCAATCAGACTATGTAGATTTGTTGTATTTTTTAAATTAAAAATATATACGAAGCTAAAATATGAAATCACATAACTTTTCAATAGTTAGCTAACCCAATAAATATTTCGTAAGTACTTATTTGGTGTTTTGATACTTCGATTTTGTTATTTTTTATTTTAATTATAGTTTAATACTTAATTTAAAACTTTATCTATCTTATAAATAGACGATAACCATAAATTTGCAACCAAAAAATTGTCGGTTCGAATATTTCATATCGAATATAGTATTGAATATGTAGAAGTGATATAGAATTCTTAAATTACCATTAATTTCCAGAACAATAGTGAAGCAATCATATCTTTGTGCAAACTATAAGGGACTGGTTCTCTAAACATTTTTGTCCGGTTAAATACAAAGTTTTGAAACTCTTCCTAGCGGTGTACGTGGGTCGGTTCATTTGGGTTTAGATATTTTAATCACCTAACTCATATACCACGATTTTGAAAACAGTAAATACAATCTCACCCAAATAATTTAGAATTTTAACGGTTTGTGTCCTCCATACCAAATGAACCAATTTACATGTCGCTTAACTAAGGACGATCTCATTGTCCAATCCCATCATTCTAATGTCAATCCATAAAAGTAACCCATATTCGCGTTTGTTAACACATATTTCACATTGTCATTACTGTGACCGGTAACTTCGCTGCAACTGATTCGGTATTATTCATCATATGACCTCCAAATTGATAAACATATTGGACCAGCAGTTTTATGACCAAACTCAAAATGAAGACAACTCATCGCCTGGTGGAATTTTGGCGCTTGCTGTGAGAACCCCGCTTCTAGGGTCTCTCGGGACTGATCTTCGGCACTCGTGACAATTAGGGATTTAGGGTTTGAGAGAAAGAATTGGGGATTTAGATGAGAAAGAACATAATAGAATTGGGAATCGGCCGAGGCCTTGGATTAGGAGAGAATAAAAATTTGGAGTTGAGAGAGATTAGGTTTTAGGAGAGATACTTTGCTTAATATTCTTCTTGACTGATTATGACGTAAACCCAAAGTACATATTTATAGGGAAATACTGGAAAACCCTAATAATAATCTTAATACGACTAAATCACTACTAACCATAATTATAATTATCCTATCTAATATAATAATTGAAACCATATATAAATGTGTTTCTGACAATCCATCCCCCTTGAAAATAACCTTGACCTCAAGGTTGTAGTTGACTTCTACCTCCTTGACCTTTCGTTTTCTTCGTTTCCAATTGCGCTCCATCATGCGAAGGAATTCTTCTTTGGCATCTCCAATGTTCCTCGTTGCTTCTCTAATCAAGTGACGCATGTCACCTTGTTCACAACCGAAGAATTCTTCATCTTCTTCCTTTTCGAAATCCATAAAGTAAGAATCGAAAAACTGCTCTTCTTTTTGCTTCTCTTCATTCACCAGCTTGGAATCTGTAAGGAATAGCTCCATAATTTCCTCCATAGGCTTGGTGGTGAAAACAACCCATAGCTTTACCCAACCTTCATTTCCTCCTCCCTTGGGTCGGCCCACATTGGCTTGTAAGAATGAGTGCCAAGGGCTTGTCGATCTTCATGCTCTTCTCAACTGGTGAAGGAACGACGAATGATGTTGATGTCGCAGGGGAGTCGGCCATTGCAACAGTTGCTTTCTTGGCCTTCACAGTAGCGGTGGTTCCACCTCGCTCGAGCCCGATTGGGAACGCAGGTTATTCCAACCAATCTTCAAAATCCATATCACCGAGCGGTTCTATTGTGGTGCAAGTTGCGCCTGGAGGTGGGATTGGGCTTCTCTCCATTAGCGCGACTGCCAACTTCAATTTAAGAACTTTTTCGAGTTCTTTGATTGAGAGCCCTGCGAACCTCGACATGGTAATGGTACGAGTGCCACAACCAGGCTCTGATACCAATTGTGAGAACCCCGCTTCTAGGGTCTCTCGGGACTGATCTTCGGCACTCGTGACAATTAGGGATTTATGGTTTGAGAGAAAGAATTAGGGATTTAGATGAGAAAGAACATAATAGAATTGGAAATCGGCCGAGGCCTTGGATTAGGAGAGAATAGAAATTATGAGTTGAGAGAGATTAGGTTTAGGAGAGATACTTTGCTTAATATTCTTCTTGACTGATTATGACGTAAACCCAAAGTACATATTTATAGGGAAATACTGGAAAACCCTAATAATAATCCTAATACGACTAAATCTCTACTAACCATAATTATAATTATCCTATCTAATATAATAATAGAAACCTAATATAAATGTGTTTATGACACTTGCTAGTGTCCATTAATCTAATTGCAAGCATAATAATTGCTAAAATTAAGCTTTCACGCAACACACTGGGAGTTGGGGGTGTGAACTTGAAGTAAAAGTTGATATTGGATTTGGGAAGGGAAGTGGTGAGAGGAAGAAATTGTGTTTGGGTTTGGTAGCAGGTAAATTTCATGGTTCGGTTTCTTTTCGTAAAATGCTTTGATTTATTTTAGTTAGAGGTATAATATCATGGTTATGTGGGATCAAATGAACCAAAAATGAGCTTGGGGGATGGGAATTCCAACTTAGAAGGAGTGGATTAGATTTTGATAAACTCAAGTTCATAATTAACTGAATGAATATTTAGATTTAGACTTTGTGGTATTGAGATGTTGATAGAGAGTTTAAAACTGATCCAAGGCCATGGATCGATATTGGTTAGTTGATTGTGATTTTGAGGAAGGTGTATAAAAAAGTCATGGAAGTAGTTTGAAGCAAGTGAAGGCAGTGAAGAGGCAGTTGGTCAGGGTAGTGATTGAATTAAGGAGGGTATTGAAAGACATAGAAGCAAAATCGGAGCAGTTGAAGAGAGAGAAGTGGTAGATGATCAGGATATTAATGAAAATGAAAAGAGTATTGAAGGGCATGGAAGTGAACTGGATCAGGTGAAGGCAGAGAAGGAGGAGAAGAGCATATTGATGGAATTGAAGATGAGTGTTGGTTTTACAAGCTTATTAAAACTGCCCCGAGGAAGATGAGTTGGCCAAATACAAGAAAGAGGATTGACGAGTTGGAGATCAAGCTGACAAGAAACTCAATTGAAAGAGAAATTCAGGTTCATGGAGAGAAGGTCCATCAAAGTAGCATAAATGGAGTTGCAGAAGGAGGATTAGAAATAGAATTTTGGTTTAAAACTTATACGTCGAGAGATTTAAGATGTAGGGGATAAAAAGTTGGTTGTACAACAGAGAATGGAACTACCACAACCTATGTTTATGTTAAAACGAGGAATCATTGATTGATTTACTCAAGTTAAGGTCGATTCACTATTCAAACTACTGGAACCTGTAGATAAGGAGTGTCTAATTTTGTGTCTCATGACTTTGATCGAGCCTATTAGTATATTGGATGTAACTCTAATTTTGCCATTTGCTCTCAAGTTTTGATGGTCTCCTTTTAGTTGAGTTGTTAGCATATGATTTACTTGAATCAACAACTCTTCATTTCTGTATTTTTTTTATAAATCTATTTCTTTTTTATTAGTGGCATGTTATTCATAGAGGAGAGCTTTGAACCATTTATGTGAGATTGTGAGGTTTCATTTCAATTTCAAACTATTTATGGATCGTGTGGGAATTCCAATGAGCTTTTATATCATATATTTCTGGACGATCTATTAACTAATATCATTTTAATGGGGACTCAATTATCATTATGAAAATGAGATTAATAATACATTTCTATATTTTTAAATGAGGAGGGTATTTTCCTGAATGTTCGACCTATATATTCATTCTTTATGTAGCATATCGATTGAATGTTTTCAATAAACTTAAACGAATTAATAGACTTAAACATAACATAGAAATAAAAATATGAAAATATGAACATTCCGACCAACGTGCCGGGTTAGGAGCGATTATAAACAACAACGATTGAATTCCTTCCTTCCGCAAAGATTTGAGGAGCAACCAATTTTATCAAAACAGAACAAAAAAATGCAGGACCAGAGAACCAGCGAAGAATTGAATTATCGCATACAACATAATAATTATTGAAATTTACAGCCAGAATGACCAAGAAAACAATAGTGACGCTTAGCATCAAGTTAATTATTCGAAATCCTAAGAAGAGAAACAGCTCACCCAGGTTTGCTGTGCCATTAATTTAATCTTCCAATGAATGGACCAAGAAAACAATAGTGACGCTTAGCATCAAGTTAATTATTCGAAATCCTAAGAAGAGAAACAGCTCACCCAGGTTTGCTGTGCCATTAATTTAATCTTCCAATGAATGGATCTGTACTTGCTCAGCTTCGAATGAAAGTGACAGGGCTCCCTCCAACGTGGAACGAAAGGACAAATGCAAAAAGTTCATCTTAAGATACAGCTGCGGCGCTGCGATCTGACTCAATCATTGATTTGATGTAGAATTCGCCCGCCTTGTATGATGATCGAACCATCGGACCAGATGCCACGTACCGAAATCCCTGTACACCACATCCATACACCGGTATAAGACAAGCCAAAGAGCAAGACAGAACCCAGAAACCAACGAGGGAGAGATATTAACGTCAAACCCTCAATTGGTGCCATGAACTGCTATGATAAAACTCTCAATTGGTGCCAGAGGTCTATGACAAAGACTCCAACCAATAATACCATAACTAGTCTACACACATGAGCAAAGCCAGACTGCATAAACAAGACAGCCTGCCGTAGGCTATATCAAGTTGATAAATAGTAAAAATTGAACACGTAAATAGTTCTGAAATCGATATTGCACCAGCAGAGAGGGGTTCTTAAGACAAATGTCTTTGATAAAAACGCAAATCGGTTTGGAATTTGGATGGGTGTGCAGACCATAAAGGCGTCACACAAGAAGTTGGGTCCTCGGAGAAGCAAGGAGCTATGTCGTATTCTGATGACAAGTTAACGCATCTTTGGTATATTACATAGGTACAGTTACTGGAATCCTTGGAATACCGACTATCGAGAGTTCAAGTGGAAGTAAACAGTCAGAGCAAGATATTTTGAGAAATTGTAGCATCCACCAATGAAACGAATTATCAAAAACTGCTAAGGAGTACCAAAAAAACTAATACTAACATTGATCACAGAGAAATTTTCTGAAACAATTTGTATTTCAGCATCAAAAGAAAGCTTCACTGTGAAATTGCGGAAGCATAAGCAAGGGAAGAGAGTAAAAAAGTTCTGGTCCAAGGACTAAGGGAATCACTGCAGAATGGAAAGGTAAACTACATTTTCAGATAGGCAGAGACGATCAAACATCAGATGGTATAAAAAAAGCAGTTATTTTCAAGGAAAAGGGAAGATGTTAGAAAACCGTACCATGTCCATGCCTAGAACTCTGTACTTCTCAAAGGCCTCAGGGGTAATGTACTCAGATACAGACATATGGCGCTTCGATGGTCTCATATATTGACCAAAAGTCATCACATCAACACCTGCTGCTCTCACTTTCTCCATAGTTTTCACAACTTGTTCAGGTGTTTCACCACATCCCAGCATTACCGATGTCTTGGTTAGCGTTCCAGCAGGGGCATACTCTTTGGCCCTCATTAGAACATCTATAGATTGCTTGAAGTTAGCACGGTGGTCCCTTACAACACTTTGAAGCTCTTCAACTGTCTCAATGTTGTGAGCAAAGACGTCCAATCCTGATGTTGCAACCTTCTCGACACAACCAGAGTCCCCTCGGAAATCAGGAACTGAACAGGCAAAGAGAAGAACAACCAAAATTCATAAATATCGATATCCATACATAAGCACAATTGAAGACCTTAAAAACAAAGTAACTAAGCCCTTCACTAAAATTACCAAAGGAGTGATGAAATCAACCAGAAGAAAGCAAGTCAGTTTCATTACCTAAGGCTTCTATAAGCATTTTGGGCTTCAAAGCCTTCAACTTTTGCACGGTTTCAGCAAAATGCCCGCTGCCCTGATCATCCAAATCGTCACGATCGACACTGGTAATCACCACATAATCCAGTCCCCACGACGCAATCGCCTCGGCCACATTTCCTGGCTCGTTCGGGTCAGGCGGTGGAGGAGTTCTCGATGTCTTCACATTACAAAACCTTTTTTGATGATGGCCAAAAGAAAGACAAAAAGGGCAAAGGTTTAAGACCAATCAACCAACACAATGAAGCTCCACAACCTAATCACCTATGAAACTTTACCTACACCCACGCGTGCAAGTATCTCCCAGAATCATAATAGTAGCCGTGGCAGTCCCTGTTTCGCCGCCGGACCAGCACTCCCCCAAATTAGGGCATTTCGCCTCCTCGCAGACAGTGTGGAGCTTCAATTCCCTCAGCTTCTTCTTGATCTGAACATACTTCTCTCCTCCCGGAATCGCTTCTTTCATCCACTTCGGTTTGGGAAGCGGCTTCTTCTTGGTCCCGACCTCGACGGAGTAAGAGTCGTTGGATTGGAGGTCGACGAAGTCGGAGATGATGGGGGATTCAGCAGCCAAACGGGCTCGCAGGCTGGCTAAGGTCTGCTCGAATTGGGGCTTCGCGGGCTCGATCGTAGTGGAGAAGGAGCGAAGAGCCCGGGATAGGGTTTGGAATCGTGGTTTCATAGCTGTCGGGGACCCAGTAATCTCGCCGGCGGCGGAAGATGTGGATTTGTGATAGGAGTAGAAGAAGTGAATCGGAGACGGAGGAAAGGAAAGGAAGGAAGCAGGAATATGGGGAGGTGACCATTGGATTTGGCTGACAATTGGTTGGCTGGTTTGGTAGGATTTGGATCTTGGTCTCTGGATGGCGGTTGGTTGGCTGCTGTTTACAGACTCCTGTGGGCCTAAAATATTGGGCTCTGATAGGTGGTGCCGTTTTTTTGTTTTTGTTTCCTTAACTACGGTGAAAATGTGGAAAGTACGACGGTACGAGTGAGTAGTAGGTGGGTTTATGCGAATTTGAGTAGATTTAGAAACCACTACGTGTTCAGTGAGGAAAAAATATTTCACGCTCACTCAAACATTGGGTTAATGTCATATTTGGTCACTATGATTACTAAATTGTGTCATGCTTAGTAACTAGAAAAAGTTAATATAAAATTTAGTCATTATAATTACTAAAACATGTCATATTTAGTCACTTTCAATTAGTTTCCGTCCAACTCTGATAATGGAGTCCGTTATGTGCTGACGTGGCTAACGAGAGTGCCTAGTCAGCGCCATTTTGGCCCGAAAATGGTCAAACCCGACCTGCCATGTCATACACCCAACCCAAACCATTAGGCACACTCAACATCGATCCGGCTCTGGATCTCATGTTCACCATGGAACCTCCTTCGCCGCTGATTCCATTCGTACCCATCTTCTTCCCCTTCTCCATTGGCGATAGATCTAGCATAGAACTGGAAACTCTCTTGGTCCGCCTCAATTCGGGCATAGGGATCCAAGGGATGAAGAATTGCTTCTTGTTAGGGATTGTAGAATACATGTTGCTGCTTCCCCCATCGCTGCTGCTCTCATCCCCTTTCTTGTTGTTCTTCTCGCCCATCAGATCCCAATATCTGATGGCGGAGGATCCGCAACAGAGCGACATACTCCGATCGAGCTATCCAGCATGGCGACACCTACATTGAGGAGGTCTTGCGGGCGACCCGACGGACGGCGCACCTGGAGCGCGGGGAACCGGTTCCACTGGCAGAGGACTTTGTTGGGTCGGGTTTGTTGCTGTCGGGTTGTATTAATGGTTTGGGTTGGGTGTATGACGTGGTAGGATTAGTGACATGGCGGGTCGGGTTTGACCATTTATGGGCCAAAATAACGCTGACTAGACGCTCCCGTTAGCCACGTCAACACATAACGGACTCCATTAACGGAGTTGGACGAGGACTAACAGAGAGTGACTAAATATGATGTGTTTTAGTAATTAGAGTGACCAAATTTGATATAAACGTTTTTAATGACTAAACATGACACAATTTAGTAATCACAGTGACCAAATATGGCATTAACCCCTTAAACATTACATGTGGGTGAGTTAGGTTGGGTGATTGTGAATGATGGGTGGTTGGATGAGTTCGATGAGTTTACAACATTCATTCTAAATTATTACATAATTAGGCCAGTGTAATGGTTTCTGATATACGGAGGGAGAAAATTTTGCCTCTGTCTTCAAGTCTCAGTCTATTATACAGGTTTGAACTTAAAATTAAAGAAATCTTTGGACTAAACAAAGTTTCTTTCATAAATTAGATGTATAATTTAATTTACAGTATTGGTACTAGTATTTTTAAATATTTCAAATATATTCAACTGATAAGCATGTTCTAAGCCTAATAATAGCCAAATAAAAAATAAATATGAAGTTGCATCATAAATACAATTAATTGTCTAAGTCTTCAAGCACAATCATTCACCGAACATTCCTGAAACCGAAATAATATAATAAACCAAATTAGACAAACAAGAAAAGTTAACTAAAAATCGTAAGAAGACAATGATCATATATAACATAGATTTCCAACCTTGAAAACAAACTTAGACTTTGAATTATCATCGATTACCACATTCTTAATCTGTGTTATGAAAATCAAGCCGTTGATACTGATAAATACCGGACCCGAGCACAAATCTGGTCCACGAAGCCAAAAACAGGTGGACATAGTTAATTAAACAAGCGCCTACCTGTTTTGCTATTTTCTAATTAATAATGAAAAAAGAAACAAGGTAACAATAAAAAATTAAAAAGTACCCTGCCCCTACTCCCTTTAGTTCATAATCACCTTCTCTTTGCCTTTTGACTTTTTATTCATTCTTAGGATTAATTGCACCGTCTGTCACTTAAGTCTATTATTTGTTGCACGGTGACTACCTGAGTGCGTTTTGTTGCAAGCTAACCACTTACGTCGAATAAATGTAGCAGCGTCACCATTTCTGTCACTTTAGCTAATGGCAGGTACCGAAATATAAGTTTTCACGTCATGTCAATTTCCCACGTCAGCTAAAAACACTAAGTCATCCTCACTTGCATCTTTATGTGGGTCCTCAATACCGTCCATTCTATCATCAATATTAATAGAATATGTATCTCTGACACCACCTTCTCTATCACCATTATCATCTTAATGTTCAACTCCCACATCTGGACTTTGATTGCTTGATTTTACCCTCTGTTCTGCTTCTTTTCTAGCCTTCCTTGACTCTTCTTTGTTTGATTAGATACACCTCCACAACTTGGTGTTTTCAACTGTCTTCATTGTCATGTCCGGAATATCTTTATGACACACCAACTCTTGTAGCCCTTCTTTTAATCGTTCTCCGAGTTGTCTCCAATAGTATGCCCGTTCATGTGTTGTTCTCAACTCCTCCACCATGCCGAAACTTTCATATTGGCCGAGCTCACAAGATATCGATAAAGTTCGAACATAGATAAGCAATCCGGATCAATCTAATCCAGATATTTAACTTCACCTCTTAAATAGCTTATGTCTTCGTAAACACATACACCATCTCACCTTTATAATGGAGTTCAATTGTGAAATAGTCATCGGTAATTCCTAATATAACAACAGACATCTTGTAAACAAATATTTATTTGTGCATTATTCATTGAGTGAAGGTTCTTAATCACTTCCCTCAATTTAGAGCTAACTGACCAAAGTGAGAGAATATCTCTTTAGGATTAATTTAGAGCATTGCCTAGTCAACGCTTTGGGGTCTATGTGTTGGGACTTTTGGGACGAGGGTGTATGTACGATAGCCCGAGACCGAGTGACTAGGATTATGATATAGAGTTGTGAACTACGATCACTTTCCGTAAAGAATATTTCCACCCTCTACAAAGCCTTGGGTTACAGAAAATTTCTTCGTAGGATAAAACTATCACCACTTTAGGTTCTAGGCTCAAGAACCTAAAGCATATTTAGAAGTTAATAGGAGGAAGAGAATGATTTTTGGTGTGTTTTCCCCATCACGTACCACCTATTTATAGTGGACGAATGGTTGCCATTGAAAGATCGCAATCTTTCAATTATATGGGTGGTTGGGAGGAACTTTTGATGCCAACGTTTGGCCATGCAAAACACCATTTCATTTGAAATGTAACGTTGCCATGGAGGGAAAATTGCCATTTGGGAACCATACATCTTCCACCCGGGAAGAGACGTGTCTCTTCATGAAGCAAAGTCCCTAACTGTTGCCATTATCAAAACCACCAATTTATCATTTCATGAGGTGTGTCCATGCATTAGAAGGCAAAGCGAAGCACATATTGCACGAAATTAATGATGGCTTTCAATTCAAATGGGACAAAAAATCCAAAAAAAATTCGGTTTAACCCATAGTATATGGTTCAACCAAATTCCAACACTATGGATGAGTGTGATTAGACTCTTAGAGCCGTTCTGGGTCTTGTCACATATGTGGAGTGGATTTGGTTGCCCCAACTGTCTAGGTTGGTAGTACGGTATGCCTCTCCTAGTAGTGCAATTAGACGGGATAAGACAATTGAAATAAGGACTCCTATATAGCTTGCAACTCCTACGATATATGTGAAGTGTGAATCGTGCTAGGTTATCACAACATCGACTCAACATGGGACTAGGGAGAAACTCATCCAATTGAAGTATCCTCAACTGAATTCAATCACATTTTATTTGCATGCTTGGTTAGTTTATTAGTTAAAACAACAAATTGGTTGTATTATAACATTTAGTTTGCTAAAGTAAGGGTAGATAGACCGTGCAGGTTGATAATTAAAAAATAGTTGTTCTATACTATTACCCGATTGAAGGTTGCATTTGGTCTTTGATTGGGATATGTATAGTTAGTAGTGAGTCAATTCCAAGTCAGATGAGTCACTTTGTTGGCAAAGTAACGACCCTCTAATGCCTCCTATCACTGACTGGTCTAAAAATGCATCTTCGCGTCCCAACATGTCTCCTCCAGCTTAGCCACAAGGAAATGGATATTCTCGACGAATCTGGGCATTTTCTAAACGAGCCCGAAAATGGCGACCAAACTGCGATTTTGTACTTTGGGTTGCTGAATCCGATGTCGTTTTCCAACTTTCCTCTTTATGTCTCCCAACACGTACAATGTGGCCCAATAAAATGCTATGCCCTGAAAACACACGAAGCATTACCAAGAGTGCATAAAAATGATAAAAGGAAGCCAAAAGCTACTATAACGCACTTCAAATGATAGTGAAGCAAAATCAAGATACTATGACGATAAATGTATGAAAACAATGAAGTTCCGGTCATAATATGGGAGTTTAAAGCAATACTTTCTATGTGACATCATTTGGATTGCCAATCTCCTAATTTAGATTGTTGAAATTCAACTGGGAATGCCACGAATAATTTTCTTATTTGCTAAAAAATTGCACTCACCAGTTTTTAGAAAGCGACATTCTTAAATTATATATAAAAACATATTTCATGTATCTCTGCTGTTTTGTCTCCATTCTTACCATCAAAATATGAATAAAATTGGTATCGCATGAGTTCACAACGATTATGATCATGACATGGAAGAATTTGGTTATCCGACTGACAACCATTTCCATAAGCAGATACTGAACTTTTTTTTCATTTTAAAAATTTAACCTTTAAAACATTTTTTCTTTTGAATTTTTGTAAACAAACAAGATTGATATCATTCAATATATCAAGATTGACATCGTTATGCGTAAAAAATAATATTATAGGTATTTTTTTATACAAACGTTCTTGAAAACCTATATGTTGAACCTTCAAAAAAACAAGGAAAATGTGATTTCACAATCTCCCGTATTTGTGACAGTCAGCAAGATAACCGCTTTGGACATGGAATAGTACTAGACCTTCAGAGCTAGCAATCATAGCTAGAACTCCGCGATCGTGACAAGCTAAGGCATAAAGAGATCATTTGTTTGGTTGTTGTGAAATGTAGACATTTTCAAATGTGTTGTTTAAACATATTTAAATGTGTCATTTTTCAATGAGTCAATTGTACAATGTTATCGTCTGCTCTCACATGTAATATGTTTCATTTTCTTGTTTGTTATCCTAATGAATCCAACCACGAAAATACAATCCATTTTAAAACCATTATGTAACATATTAGTTAAGTAATTGTATTATACAATAATACTATTTTTTATTTTGAACGATTATTTACGTTAACTTTCTTCACAAATTGTAGCGGTTACAAAGTATATCATTTTACAGCCAAACATAACCTACATTTGTATCCAATTTTCAAAACAATAATGATTATCTTACTATAAATAATTGAAAAGTATCAATGCAAAATAAGACAATTATTATTTAAAAATAAATGGAAGTTATTGAGTTTACAAAGACAAAATAGAGAATATTTAGTATTGGATAAATTTAAAAAAAAGGGTTAAATAAATTAGAAACTAGTGACCAGAAAATGAGTCATTTACGAATGACTCATTTTTTCCGATTAACACTCAATTCAATTCAATAACCTACATTCGAAACCAGCCGCAAACTATAACTGCCTCCCAACCGTCGTTCGCGCTCTCGCTCTCAACTCAATTCAATTATCTATTCGTCTTGCAATTCCGCAAACGCAATTGGTTACGATTTTCTTCCTGAAAAAGTTTTATCTACTATTATTTGTCTCTCTCACACACTCATTTTCTATATTTCCTCCGAAACAATCTCACTTCTAAACAAAAACCCACCTTCCAGTCCCTAGAAGATTCCCCATCCTATTTCTTTAAGTTCTTTCCCTTTCTCGCAATTTCATCTCTCTGCCCTTTGATGATCTCTAGGATTTTTTATTTTATTTTAGTAGATCTTCTCTTTCTATCTCGAGTTTGGGCCAATGAGACGCTACGATTCAAATCCCTTTGACGAAGAGGATGTCAATCCCTTTGCAGTATGTTAAATGTTTTTTTCTTCATTTTTTTGCCATAATTCATGTGTGGGTGTAGCCTGTTCGTTCAAAACTTATGGTTGTTCGAATTGGGTTCGTTAGATGTTCTTTGCATAGCTCTAATTATTAGACGGATAGAGGTTCTAATGTGAAATTTGTGTTGTTTCCATTCGTTCTGGTTTCTGTAAGTCCATTGCAATGGAGGGAGGGAATTGATTATCGTATTGAAGCAATAGATTGTGTTGTAAGAAGAGTTGAGATATTCAAAGAGACAAAAAAAGCTTAATAACAACTTTCTGTCTGGAAGTTCTGACCTGTCGTTTCTCTACCCCTTATGCAATTGAAGGAAGAAAGTGAATTTGATTGATCATTCGCTTAAAGCGTTGGGTCATTAACAATGGTTTTTTTGAATGAGACATTTTTGTTATGCAATCCATGAATTGGTCGATTTAAGCATGTGATTGAGGAGATTGATAATTTATCATGTTTGTTGATGTTAGGATCAATCGAAGGGGAAAGGATCAGGTGGTGGAGGTGCCTTCTATATGCCGGTAAAGCTCCTCCCTTATAATCCTTTCATTTTCAGAAAGTCTAAAGCTGAAACTTGAAGGTATGAATTGCAACATGCATAAAGCATCTATTGCTCATAGTTTAGGATTTGGTTGTTATTCATTTCAATCGCTCAACCTCGGGGTTGTCTTCGTCTTACTTATAGATGACATTACATGTTACTTTTCAAGGGGTAATTAATTTTTTTTTTTTTTGAATGATGAGGCCTTCCGGATTTTTTTGTTAATTGAGTCCACATTTGATTGTTTCATCTATGTAAGCTGTTATAATTCGATGGTGCATGAAGATATTTGGGTAATAATGTTCACGGCTTATTAATAACACATCCTCAACTTGAAATTCATTTGTCCATGGTGTTTGTTCTCACAAATTTGTAAACATGAGCTTCAAGCTTATGCGGATCGTTCTTCCTATTGCAGTTGATGTATACTCCAAACTTCTCTGCTTCATTGCTATCATATTTAACAGAGTTGTCTCATAATCTTTTTCGGATGTCTCTTAGTCAACTTGCATAATTTTATTCTACTTGTTTTTCTTATGCAAGTGTTGGGATATTTAGAGTTGTACTATAATCTGCATAAAAAATAGAGTTGTATTATCATTTTCCTTTTTGAATTCTCTCTATATCCAGAATCCAGGTGTTGGTTCCTCAACATCAAAGCTTTCACCTCTCCCCCCAGAACGTTATGATCGCAGTGCAACAATCGATATTCCACTAGATAATGCAAAAGTATTCTAAAACTTTATTTTATTATAATTCGAATCTTTACTCGTAGGTTCTTCTTCTTATATGAGTGGTATTTTCATATGTAGGATTTAAAAGCCAAGGAGAAGGAACTCCAAGCGAAAGAGGCTGAATTAAAGAAGAGAGAGCAGGTGTTTAAACTTATTATAAATATTTGGAAATTTATGTTTGCTAGTTCAAATACTTTACTCCTATTTCTCATGCCATCCACTTCTGTTTCTTCACCACATAAGGTGACTGATAGTTTTCTATACTTCAATTTTTTTACTTTGCTAGGAATTAAAACGTAGAGAAGATGCTATAGCACGAGGTATATTTTGTATGCACATATGTTTTAATAATCATTGAGGTTCTTCGGAGTGATTTAGTATGATAAGTTTTTTTTCTTTCTTTCTATTTTGCAGCCGGAATAGTAATTGAAGAGAACAACTTCCCACCATTTTTTCCTCTTATCCATCATGACATTGCAAATGAAATACCCATCCATCTACAAAGGATACAATATGTCGCTTTCACCACTTTGTTGGGTATGCATGTCCCTTGTACTTCATATAGTTATGTGTCATTGTTGAGCTGCATAGTCTAAACCTGACAACTTAAGCGACAAGCTCATGCTACTCTCTATGTTTACGAACTTGATAATCTTATTTCTAGATACTCCAATTGCTTACATTATTCTATGAAGTCAACATGGTTTTGTTGATATGCTTTACCTAGATGTTAATCAAGATTTCTGGGGTTTCCTATTTCTGCAGGTCTAGTATTGTCTCTTTTGTGGAATGTTGTTGCAGTTACCATGGCGTGGATTAAGGGAGAAGGTTGGTGAAGTTTTGTTAACAAAATTAATACAAATGTTTTTTAATCCCGGCTCATGTAGAAGTTCTTATTTTTCCAGGATTAACCATTTGGCTTCTCTCTATTATTTACTTAATATCCGGGGTTCCAGGGGCCTATGTTTTGTGGTATCGACCCCTCTATCGAGCAATGAGGTATCATCCTATCATAGGACTCACTTAATTTCTATTAGTTCTCAAAGTCATTCACGAGAAACAATATTTCTGGATGCATTTTGTAGGCCTGGATCCCTAAGTGTAATCTAGCTAATAACTTGATACACTTGACATAAGAATTTTTTTAGTGACATGGATTCCAAAGTTTTATGAAACGGGACATAATTATGATTCTCTACAATATCTTTGTTTATTTTGTCAAAGTGTTATGCTTTGAGTGAATGCAACGCTTGACTTGTATCTAGAAAGCATAAGTAATAAGCAAGTTAACTTATCTCATCATAGAAAATAATAAATAAATAGTTAACTTATCACGAAATGTTTGGACATAGCTATGTAAGTGATAAAGTCTAGAAAGATCACACATGCTCTTGGAGGATTCCTCGAGCATCACTTCCACGCTATGTGACACTTTTACTAATTTTATTTACAGGACTGATAGCGCTTTGAAATTCGGGTGGTTTTTTCTAACATACATGGTAAGCTGGTGTACTTCCTAATTATTAGACTTAGCTTCCAAGATTTACCTTCTGCAAAAGCTGGTAACTCTTTTTTGTTTTTAACCTTTTGTATGTAGTTCCACATTGGTTTTTGCGTCTTAGCAGCTGTTGCACCGCCAATTATCTTCAAGGGGAAGTCTCTTGCGTAAGTTTCTACCAACATTAGTAGATAGCCATATCCAATCCTTCGTATTCTCACCTCCTTTTTCTCATTTCTCATCTCCGTTTGTCCTTAGTAAACTTGTTAATCATTTAGGTGATTTCATAATCTGTTATATAATGATCTTTCCTTGGACTTGTATACAGAGGGATTTTGCCTGCCATTGATCTTCTAAGCACCAAACCTTTAGTGGGGGTAAGTTCCCTGGATAGTATCTAGCGTTTCATGTAGGTTTTAATGAATTGTGACATTAATACCATAACTTCCTTCTAGCATTGTGGAAAGTAAGATATCATTGTAACCAATATTTAATGGTTGCAGATATTCTACTTCATTGGATTTGCATTTTTCACAGTTGAATCCCTTCTCAGCATCTGGGTTATTCAGGTTCAATTTTGTTAACTGTATTGTACATCGCTCACTGCTTGCCACCTGTCTTATAGCTGCAGTCCTAACTAATGTTTCTTGTTCACCGTCATGGATTTTGTTTGCAGCAAGTCTACATGTACTTTAGAGGCAGTGGGAAAGCTGCAGAGATGAAACGACAAGCCATGTTGGCTGCATTATGATGTTGGACCTGACCTATCTCGCATGAAGATACTCCATTCTTCGTCAACAACTTTGATGCTCTTGCATTTTTTGGCTTCTTTTGCAAGGAAGTGTGCATATTGGCGATGGTATATATATCTTTTACCATAGTATTCATCAAGGAGCGATATCGTAGAGACTAAATAATTGGATTGAGAGTACCATTATAGGGTTTTGCAGGTTGTGAGGGAAGCATATTCGAGTATGAGGTGTTTCATTTGTATGGAATTTTTTTTGTACATTGTAGCTCTATTATTATTGATCCTTATAGTGCTGGTTGAAGATTGCGACAATTGTTTGTAGCTAGTGTAGAGCATGAAATTCCTATGGTCTAATGGATGATGGCTCAATACTTCTAGTGGGGGAGAAATGTTTGGAAAAGGTTTTGACTATTGTACTCAGTCTGGTAGAAACAAGTCTGGTAGACTTTCCTGATTTGGATGAACCTTTCATTCATTTGCTCTCTTTTACTCATTTACTTCGATTTTCGTACCTAACTGGTAATGATGCCATTCTAATTGAACAATTTATAAGCAAGGTTGTCAAACTAGTATCCATCCAGGTGATCAGCCAAAACCGGTCATATGAGCAGTTGGAATACACTCCAGTTGGATGGAGAGAAAGTCAAAACCTTGGTAAACTAGTCAAAATTGGGGTAAACCATTCAAAATTAGTTAAACCTGTTAAAATTGAATGGACCGACCAGTCAAAATCATGTTAAACTAGTCAAAACAGGGTTTGAGATGAGGATTGATAGTTTGGTAATAATATTTTTCTTTTACATAAATAATTTGGTAATATATGAATGTAGATAGTAAGATTGTTTTAAAATATGTCAAATATATGCATGATTTATTTGGCATTAGAGGTTTTCTCACATATTCTGTTAAAACGGGCTTGACCTAATGGAACCTGATCCTACCATTAAACCTCTAACCACTTGTCAAGCCGACTTGGTGGCCTAATCTGGTTTGACAGCCTTGCTTATAAGTACAAGTAGTCTAACGGGGGAAATGAGTAAAATCAGTAGCGATTTTAGCGATATAAAATGATTAAATAATAATCAATACAAAATATTCTATAATTGATTTTTCAGTACAATTTCCGGTAGAGTTTTACAATTCTGAGAGTGACGTGAAGATAAATTAGAGGTGTATTCGCAACCAAGCTACCCACCTTAGTCGTTCTACTAGGGGCATGATAGAGTGACTACCCCCAAAGGGATATGGTTTTTGGCATAATAAATAACTTAGTAAATGACAATTCCTATTAATAAAAAAACTTTCCATTAATACAAAGCTCTCCCCTTTAACCCTAGTTGTCTCCCTCTTCTCTCCCCACTCTCATCTTGCATCTTGCTGCAACCGCCAACTCCGCCTCCCCCTCGATATCGTCGCACCCTCTCTTCTCTTGCTGCTGCTACCCTCGTCTCCTATTGCCCTCTTCCTCCACGCCTTCCATCTATGCCGCCACCATCCCTCGTGTCGTCGTCCACCTCCAGCGCCTTCCACCACCACTACCACCATAACCATCATCCTCTCTCCAATCGTTGTCGTCTTACTGTCACCATCCTCTGGCATCGCTACTACCATCCCTCGTTGTTGTTCTGCCCTCCTCCCCCACGCTCCTCTCCTGGCGAGTTTTCAATTTTTCAGATCTGACTTTTCTATTTCCATCTCAGTTTTTGTACCACTACAATGATATTTGTACCACTGCAGTTAAACTCAGATCTAATATTTGTACCACTACATTGGTAGCGTTACCAATGCACTGGTATCGATACCACTGCATTGGTAGCGATATCAGTGCTCTGGTACAAATCTCAAATATGAATTTAAATTGCAGTTGTACAAATATCAGTGTAGTGGTACAACGTATTAGTGCAGTGGTACCTTTTTGCAGGTGCCTGGAGGGAGTCTGTCAGCGGGATTTTCACCGGAGAAGTGTGGCGGTCAGAGGAAGCCTAGTTGTCGGACGCTGCCGGAAAAGGAAGGATTAGAGATAGGGAGAGAGAATTGTATTTATTTTAGGTTTAAATTTTTAAAAAATCAAGTAATTAATATGGTATATTTAATTCTCAATGTGTATTTAATATGAGTGTTAAAATCTACAAGTTGCATTTAATAACCGGGGTGTCATTTTTCCAACCACTCATGGGGTTAGTAAGCTAACCGCGCCCATTCTATTACTGCGGTTCAGAAGAGAGCAAAAGAGGGTAGAAAGTTATTGATTTGGCAAGCTAGTGATAAAGATGGACCGTAGACTGAGCATGGGTGCAAGTAGTCCATGAGGAGGAGCAATGACCAGTTCGATCCTTGGGTAAAGCAAGGAGGCTCCATTGTTTTTTATGAAGGTGATTAGAATAAAACGGAAGGAAAAAAGAGATACAGTCAAGCGTTCATAATAATGGAACCCTAAACAATATGATAAAAATGAAAAGAAAAACAGAGAGCAAAGAATGAGAGGGAGAAGGAAAGCAGAACCGCAAAACAAGAATCACAACATTATACAAAAAGGGAGGGACTTCCAAAAACAGAGTGCTCTCATCGTTAAAGTGCACTGATTTTATTCAAGCCAGAGATGCCAGCACTTGGAATGGAGAATACAGTAGCATAATCATCGTTCGAAGTCAGGAATGCTTGAAGGCCAGTCTCGAATGGTATCAGTGATGTTCCTACTTGGTTGTGTGATATGGTTGCATCTCCTCTTGATGGAATTCCAAATGCTCTTGGAGCAGTCGCATTCAACGAAGAGATGATCCACGTTTCCTCCTTCTACCTACAGAGCTCGTAGCGATTAGCAAGATTCCAAACATTCCTTTACAGCCGGTCGATTGTGGGAATTCTTCTGTGAAAGAGAGTCCAAAGGAAGAAGTAGACCTTTGGGGGGACGATGCTTTTCCATATGACAATGGTAGGGAAGTTAGGGACACCCGGTAAAGAATCATCAATCAAACACATGTACATAAAAGTGAATATAACAAACCATTATTTTCTCTCTCCACCCCACCTCTGAATATGAAATTAAGAACAATATCCTCAGGAATGAACTCACCAGAGGTGTTGGAAACATCAAAGACACGAGCTTCAGGGATAGTGGCGGTGACAATGACTCATGGGAAGGAGTTAGCGAGAACAATTGATGGGGCCCAATAATCAAACCAGAAGGAAGTATTGTTGCCATTTCCTCGATCAAGGTGAGGGAATTTGCAGAATGAGCTATATTCTTTGGAAATTCCAACCCAAGGAGCATCGCCGCAACCATTCTTGATTATGGAGGTGGTCCAGGAAGAATATTTATGCTTGTATTTGCATGATATGAGGGATTGCCACCAACTGCCAGTGTTTGTGATGAATCGCAAAGCCATTTAGAAAGGAGAGCCTTATTGAAGCACTTAAGGTCAAAAATTCCAAGGCCACCATTATCTTTTGACGCTTTGCACACGTCCCATTTCACAAGGGAGGACTTGTTGACATCCAGGCTCCATTGTTACTACATCACATCAGAGATCTTATGCTTACTCTAGTCGGAGTGACAAATGCACTTGGATCAGATTTACCAACGGAAACTCTGGTATGGTGGAAGGTTTGAAGAGGATTTATACTAGGGATGATTTATACTAGAGATCTTTTCCTTCCTCTGATCTGTTTCCCGATTCTCCCATCCCAAAAATCCTATAAAATGAAACCATAGAAAGGAAAACTAATCGCCGCCTCACCTTCTTCCTTCGCTCGATTCCCTTCTTCCTCTTCATCGTGTTCCTCTATCTCTCTCCTAATTCCTAAAGATGAGATCTAGTTGCGGAGTCCTCTTCATCTTCTCCTTTCTTGGTGAAGAGAAATCCACACCCAGAAAATTAGTATATTGTTTATTTTAGTCCAGATTTAACCGATAAGGCAGCCGCTGGCAGTTGCGGTTGCCAATTTTGAATGATTTTCGCGGTTGGCTAACCGACCCAATGGTTCGGTTACACTGAAACCGCTCCTACTATCACCCCTAGTTTTGTCCACAACTGATGTATGGAGAGATAGAACGTTTTGAATCTATGTTCAAGGCTTTGGTAGAAGCCTATAAAAATGCTCATAGGGATGATCTTGCTGAGATGGTGGATCAAGATATGAGGTTTGGTTTTGATTCACAAGAATTCTCAGATTATGAGAATTAGTTCTCCATACCATTTGGAAGGCATCAAATTTTGTAGTATACATTGTTTAGGCAACATTTACTAAAAATTTCAGGTTTCATATGTAAGATCACGTACTCTTTTTTCCCCTTTCAATTAGGTTGTCATGTTACAACCAGTATAGATTGTGAATTGTTGCAACATGTAAAACAGTTGCATCTTATCCAACTATGTAAATACCAATTTTGCATGTATCCGTAACATTGTCACCTTTAAACTTAAGAATTTAAGTAATGTAAATACCAGTAACGTTCATCCATGCTTTGTTATTGGACCTTGTACAATACTAAGGGCGCAATTGGTTATAAACGAAGGATATGATGCTTTGCGTTCCATGGCAAAAGAATTTATCACTATAACATGAGCTACACAGATTCACATTTACCTCGGTATTAAGTTAAAGTTTCGGGATAGTCATAATCGCTTGTAATAATTCGCTCCTATGATTCAACCTCAACAAAATTGTTATAATCGATTTTTTACCATCCATTTCTGAACATTATATCAGGGGTGGAGCTACAAAATGATGAAAACAGTAATTCGATTCTACAGACGCAAAAATAGTTAGCACATTGTAAAAAAAATAAAAAAAAAGAACGTTAGCACAGACAACTCTTTCTTACAGATCAAGACATACCCATAGTTCAAGATCTCTGTCTTTGGTTACCCCGCTGGCCCCGTTGTACCACATTTTCTAAAAGCCTAACTCCAGCTTGTCCCGGCAACCTTCTTAACCCCTCTTTCCTCCATTAACCTCCTAATGTTATCTGCATCATCCCAGCGACCTACAGATCGATAAACATTAGCCAGATAAACATAACTGAGATGGTAGTCAGGCTTAAGTTCCATGGTTCTCTTAGCAATGCGCTCCGCTGTAGCAAGGTTAGTACTGGTAGCACAGGCTCCAAGAAGAACTATCCAAAGAGACGAATCGTCTCTGCAGTCTGCATTCTCCAACAAATCTTCAGCTTCTTCTATCAACCCAGCACGGCCCAGAAGATCAATCATGCAATTGTAGTGCTCAATGCCGGGTCTGATTCCATATTCGTGGATCATAGATGCAAAATGCTTCCTCCCTAGATCAACGAAACCAGAATGACTGCAAGCGAAAAGAACTCCTATGAAGGTAATATAATCAGGCTTCTCATCCTGCTGGACCATATCATCAAACACTTCAAGAGCGTTTTTGGCTCTTCCATTCTGTGCAAACCCGCGAATCATCGTGTTCCAAGTTATCAAGTTTCTCATTGGCATTTGTTCAAACACCCTGTAAGCGAAATCGACAGAGCCACATTTTGCATAGAGGTCGACTAAAGCAGACTCCACGATGACATCGCGCCACCCACCTCTCCTCACATACTGGCAATGAACTTCTTTACCTTGCCTGATGGCTGCCAAGCCAGCACAAGCTCGAAGCACGGTACCAAAGCTGTAAAGATCGTCCTGACCCATATCTCTAAATATTCTGATGACTGATTTCAGATCGCCGTTTTGACAGTACCCACCAAGCAATGCTGACCAGGAAACAAAGTTCTTTACGCCCATTTTATCGAAGACGCAGTGAGCTTCATCAAGCAGCCCACATTTCCCGTACATGTCAACAAGGCTGCTTTCGACTACAACATTTCCACCTACTCCGGAAGTAATGACCTTTGCATGAACTTCTTTGCCTTGCTTGACCCTCCCCAAGTTGCCGCAAGCAGTTAAAACCGTGCCGAAAGTGAAGACATCTGAGGAGAACCCATGCTTCCTTCGCATCGAATAAAAAAACCCTAAAGCTTCACTGTACATATCGTTCCTTGTGAAAGCTGACATCACCGACGTCCAACAAATAGCATCTGGTTGGGGCAACTCGTCGAACAGTTGGCGTGCATCATCGAGACCCGAATTCCTTCCATACATATCAATCAACGCGCTGGAAATTACATGATTGGGGTCGAACCCGCGAACAAATACAATCCCATGAAAGCATCTGCCCAGTCTCGGGTCGCCAAGATCCGCACACGCTTTTATCACAGCAGATAAAGTGAAGGCATTTGGCTCAACACCACAATCCAACATTTCCAAGAACAACTCGATCGAATTTGTGGGTTTCTCCAACTTGACATAGCCAGTCAACATGGAAGTCCAGGAAATTACGTCTTTGAAATGGAGCCCGTCGAAAACTCTCCTAGTCTCGATGAAATCAGAACCCAGCTTGAAGTAAAGCGCGAGCAAGCTGTTCCCCACAAATCTATCGGTCTCGAGGCCGGACTTCACGACATGGGCATGAATCTGAACTCCAGAGCGAAATGACAGAGCTTTGGTACTGGTTTGCAAAAGAGAAGCAAATAGTAGAGGTTTATTAGAGAAGGCTCTCCAATCAATGACATTAAGAAGGTCGAGCGCGGGAAAGAGAGCTCCCGATTTGCAGCATTCGAGAATTTTCGATTCCTTGGTTTGTGGATAAGTTTGAGTTGGTTTGACATAGTTAAGGGAGGGAACAGAGCTCCAATGGCGCTTCACAGAGAAGAAAGGCTTCATAAAAAGGGATCGAAGTATGGAAGCGGAAACCAGAGCAGCGCCGACTTTTGAAAATTTCTGTGCTTTGGTTAGAGAACTCAACTTAGGAGGGCAAAGTGCAAAGTGCAAACTGTCCGATGGAACCAAACGGTACAGTTTAGATCCTTTGGTTTGATTGTTAGATAGGTTAATGGTTGAACCGAACCGGTCAGATACCAGTTAGGTGTTTATACTTTATATATTTAATTGGTTAATTAATGGTAAATTATATCCACGAAAACATATTAAACTATAAATAATTGTTTCAGATAATTTGTTTCAATGTTCTCTATTCTTCATTTACTCAATTAATTGATATACGATTAACATGTTTTTGTTTTTTCGTTTATTTCTTTTGTATCTCGGCTCCTCTTTCTTCAATCCATTGACGAAGATGACTAGATGGCTTCCTCACCTCAGTCGATGCCGTAATTTCAACATCTGAATAGTCCCTTTTACATGCACGTTGACAATCCGGGAAGGTCCTCACTTTGACGATTTTGACGGGCTCGAATCATTATTCTTGGGCGTGTTCGATGAGAATGACATTGCCCTCCAAGAAGTAAATCGATCATGAGAAACTCCCATTACATTAGGCATAGCCATTGGAAAAGGTCTTTGTCGTACAAATTGAAGAGATGTGTGCCAAAATCATAGTCATAGCCCATAGGCCTTCCTCGCCAAGTCGCCGGCAAAATTAACTTCCCTATACACAATACACATGAGAAACTCTGATTTTCCAATCAAGATTCAAAAAATAACTAAACTACTTCGCCAAACTTCCATGTCGATGATCATCCTTGTGGCATTGCTTGATGATCTCAAGAGCCGTCAGAGTCGAGGTTGAGTTTGACTTTCCTGTAAGAGAGTATTCATTAATCGAGCATGATTTGACAGAGAGAGATGGAGAAGAAAGAGAGTATTCATCAACCGAAATCAGATGGCTCTTACCAAATCTCCCCCAACGCTCTCTTAAATCCAACGACAGCTGATGAGCCGAGCCAAATCTTGCTTAAATCCCATGACTAAACCTCCTGGTATAAATGAGCATTTCAGTCTGAGCAAAAGTCACAAACGAGAGTAGAAAAATTGTTTGAATCCAAGTAATTCATTAAACTGAGCACACGCACAGAAAAAGATAATGGCAATTAACAGAGTAGAGGAGATGGTGGTGTTGTGTTTTTTTGGTGGATGAGAGGAGGAAAGTGAAGAGCAGCAAGCCAGCGGCGGGAACATGCTCGAGGTGCGGCGGGGGAGCAAGCATCGCCGACATGAGAAGCAGCACCAGCTTCTTGTACGTGCCCTTCTACTGAAAGTCATGGCGAGCCATCATCTGCGCTTTCTGTGGCACCCTCCTCCACTCTTACCAATAGAAAGACAACCTCCAATTTTCTTAAATCAGGCTAGCTAGGTTCTCAATTTTTTTTTAGAGGGGTTGTTTCCCTTTTTTTGTGTACGCCGGTGGAAATCATAAATTGATGATGAAGATGATATGTATAAATAAGTATAGCGTTAATTTAAGGCCTTTTGGCATCCACCCTCTACTTTGGTGTTTGCTGGTATATCATGTGTATCTTAGGTTCAAATTCTACTTGAGGAGATTTTATTCATTCCGCAGTTATTACTAGCATTGAGAGGGAGGTGGATAAGGTGGAACCGGAGACTCACTTAAATGTAGACTCTGATGACTTCCTATCCTCACCATACTCACAGTCGAGGCAGGCATCTTCGGTGTTTCCTGATGGGTCAGATTCAGAAGCCACTCTCTCATAGGATGGGGAGGAGAGCCATATCCATGCAGAGAACAGTTCGAGTTGAAGAGTCAAAAGGCACCCTTAGAGGCGGCTTCCTTTGGCCTGGCCGGTATAGGACGAGTTCGCCAGACTGTGGAAGCCCTGAATCGTAGTAATGATTATTTATATGTTTGCTTATTTTTAATCAATATTGAGTTTTAAAAAAATAATTATTATAAAAGTGACATGGAAAATCAAAGCCTAAGACCATCTACAATGCAAGAGTTAAAGTGCCAAATTTTGGCACTTTTGAGGTGCAATGGCAAAAGCTAAAGAGTCAAATTGTTAAATTCTAAGCTTTTGGGAGCCAAATTTGACTCACAAAAAACAAAAAGGGCTAAAAGTGAAAGTTGTCATTGCAGGGAGATGGAGAGAAGGAAACGTGCGGGGAGGGGAAGGGGGAAGGGGCCGCCTGCTTCCCACGCGCGCGTCCCTTCTTTCCTTTTTTTTTGTTTTTGTTTTTATGATAGCAAACTACAAATCAGCCCCTGTAAAACTTCTCCACTAGTCACCA